CAGATCACTATTTGACTTGTTTAGGCTAAATAAAGGAGGAATTTTTGAGATTTGGCATGTTCCTGAAGAAGCAAGATAGTCGAATTAAATGTGAATTGCGACATATTTAATTTCTAAAGTTACATACTCATTGATATAATAATAGTAATACTATAATTGATGTTGAACTACATCAACAATCAATTGCCATCCAAATGTGATTTTCAACTACTCATGATCTGAAACACGAATCCGTCTATCCCATGCACCCGAAATGTCTTAGTAGTGTGCATTCTTCCTGTTCCTGTTCCGCAGTTCAGAAGCTACGACATTCCTGGTAAGAGTGATGGTCATTGAACAAAATACTGAAAGAGTTCGAACCACATAATATCATGTAATTTTTTTCTTCTCTCCTCCCCAAATAGCCAAAGAAATAAGGGATATGGTTATCTGTTTTAGATATGATGATTGATTTTCAGGGTTAATGAAGTATTTTGTGAATTACAATTTTGGATTGATGGAGGGTCTTTTAACAGCTTTTAGTTGCTTTGGGGCATAAATACAAGATCATGATGAAGTTACATTCATTTTCATGGATGCTTTTGTATAAGATTTCCATATGAAGTCAACTTGTTGAAAGAAAATTCTTTCTTCATTGAATATTTTAGCTTGTTTGATGAGATTTAATTTTTTTTTTCTTTTTTTGGCAGAGGTCAGCCGAGCTGGAAATTGTACAAAATTCTTTGCAGAAGCCTCTATCCAAGGACGAAGGTATGCTTTTGTCAATCATCTTTGAGTAGTGCTCTTTTTTCACTGGTTCAATGTTCTTCTTTTGAGTATTTACCAAGTTTTGATGAATATCTCTCTGTGTGTATATATATATGTATTTGTATATGTGTATCTTCTATTTCCCTGTATATTTGATTGTTGTATATCTTTGCTTTTACCATTTATTGCTTGGAAGCATTTAAAAGTTGCAGCTTACTCTTGGATTGTTTGAGGGAACTCTGGTAAATCCCTTTGAAATAAAACTCTATTTATTTGAAAGAGATTGGCAGCAAATATTGCAATTCAAAAAAAAAAAGATTGGCAGCAAATATCTGGAAATATGGTAAAACTGTTATCTGCTAGCAGTTGTGGTAAATAATTTCAAAGAACACATTTTGAAGTTACATCTGAAGAGGTTGCAAGTTTGCAAGCAAACTGAACTTTACCATACATGCTGCAGCACATTAAACTTCCTAGATAACAGGCTGCTATGTGCATTGAACTTTGTAGAAAAGAGCAACTGCAACCCAGCTAAACTTTTAACTATACATTCTGTAATGCATTAAACTTCTTAGGTAACCTGAAAGATAGTCATGGGTAATAAAAATAGAACGGAGAGACATGTTTATCTCAAAAAAAAAAAAAAGACTAGGGAGGTGCAAACCAGAAAGAAAAGGAAAGCAAGAAAAGAGTAATTGAACAGCTACCTAATACTTGGGGATTAGATCCGTTAATGTCTTCACTTCTCAATCTAATAATACTTATTTGTTCAAAAAACGTGAAGCATTACCTTAGTAAATTTCTCTCTCTCTTTCATATATATACACAATGCTTTGTTATTGCAACTGTCTGATTGTTGTCCTCTCTCTTAAATTCCTATCTGATTTCTGGAAAGTATGGTCTTTTCCCTAATGTTAAAGTTGTCCCATTTTATGTTGAATTTTGGTTTGCTATATTTGTGGTGAAAACTGGTCGTTGACTAATTTGGTTACCTTTTATAGAAGCTTTCTTGTTTCCTGGACTTCTCTTGTTCATTATCTTAATTTTATGCAAGTCCAAATAGTTAATGAAAGAATGTGGTTGATATCAACCCGTTGAAATCTTGGTCTCATCTGATACAAATACTATATGCCGGACAGGCCGTCTAGCTAAAGCCTCAAGTTGCAGTGTTTCTGGTGGGGTTGAATTAGAGCAGGCTTTCTCTCATGATCAGGATAGTTGTGTGGATCTGGAACAGGAAGCTCCATTATGCTCTGATCCATGTCCAAATGATCTTGATGGTAAAGTTTTTATTTTCCCTTCATGCCAAATGTGGACCACCTGTAACAGGGTAGCTTTTTGGCAGGTTGTACTAATGGAGAATTCTCTCGCTTGGAGGCATCTTCCAATGACACTGTTTGCCATTATAGGCCTGGTCAACACTCAAAGTGCAACGACATGATTTGTAAAACTGATGAACTCAATATGGAGCAGCTTATTGAGGCTAAGAAACTTGGAATTCTAGAACAGAGTCCTGAAGATGAATTGGAAGGAGAACTGATATATTACCGGAAGAGATTGCTTCACTATACAGTTGCAAGAAAGCAGTTTGCTGGTCACTTCTCTTTTCCTTTTTCTTTTGCATATTTTAGATATTTTCTTGCCTTTTGTGGATATGTATGCATGGGGAACTTGGAGTTCTACATTTTTGTGCTAGTTTACATTGATATATAGTTATTCGTGTAATCTGTTGCAGACAATCTAGTTTGTAAAGTTGCCAAGAGTTTGCCGCTGGAGATTGACATACAGCGTCAACAAAGATGGGATAATGTGCTTATTAACCGATATCATTCTGATCTTAGAGAAGCAAAGAAACAGGGTAGAAAGGAGAGAAAACATAAGGAAGCTCAGGCTGTTCTAGCTGCAGCAACTGCTGCTGCTGCAGCTTCATCTAGGATATCGTCGTTGAGGAAAGATGTACTTGAAGATTCTGCGAGACAGGAGGTTATTATTATTTTTCATGTGTTTTCTTGACCATCACTTTTCCTTTATTAAAAGATATAACTATATTTATTGCCTTACTTCCTCCTTTGCAGAACCTGTTGAAGACAAGTAATTCTAACCGAAGGATTGGCAGTAGCTCTCAGCTGATGCCACGGGCAAAAGAGACACTTTCAAAGATGGCTGTTTCAAGGACGTTGTCAGAAAAGCAGTCTGATTATTTGCAGTCAGTCTCAGATTTTTCAAGAGATCATCCAAGATCATGTGATATCTGCAGACGATCAGAAACAATACTGAATCCTATTTTAGTCTGCTCCGGTTGCAAGGTTCTGTGGCATGAGTCATAATCATTTTCTTTCCTCCTTTTTGGTTAGTTTAATGTCTGTTTTTGTCATGACTGATGGCAAAGCCTTTGTGCTAGCAGGTTGCTGTTCACTTGGATTGCTATCGGAGTGTAAAAGAATCTACTGGTCCATGGCACTGTGAATTATGCGAAGATTTACTGTCATCTAGATCATCTGGAGCTCCATCTGTCAATTTTTGGGAGAAACCCTATTTTGTTGCGGAATGTGGTTTATGTGCTGGCACTACTGGTGCTTTTCGAAAATCTGCTGATGGTCAGTGGGTCCATGCCTTCTGTGCAGAGGTGAATCTCTTTTTTGCTTGTTGGTTACTCAACTGATGGCAGCTCTGTTTGAGTGTATGACACCTTTCTATCTTCATGTAAGATGTAAAATAAAAATTTCTTCTGTTTTGTAGTGGGTCTTTGAATCAACCTTCAGAAGGGGACAAGTCAATCCTGTACAGGGAATGGTATGTGCATGGACACTATCTGAACTTTGACATAGTTTACATTTTTTTATCCATATATCAGAAACTTTTTAGGAAATACAATCCATTCGAAGTTTGCAACTCCAAATAGTCCTTTTTTTTCTTGTATTGAACTTACTATTGTACGTGATGGAATACCAGGACACAATTCCGAAGGGGATTGATATTTGCTGTATCTGCCGTCGCAACCATGGTGCATGCATTAAGGTGGCATTGGCAATTAGATATTCTTCTTTTCATGGTTTAGTTTATCTCTGTTTGAATTAATAAATACATTCAGGTTAAGATTTTCATCAGCAATTTATTCCATGCAGTGTAGTTATGGTCATTGTCAGACAACATTTCATCCCACTTGTGCTAGGAGTGCTGGTTTCTACATGACCGGTGGTGGCAAGTTGCAGCACAAGGCTTACTGTGAAAAACACAGCTTAGACCAGAGGGCAAAGGTCTATATTGTTTACTATAATTAAGATATTTCTTTGTTCATCAGTTATAATGCCTGACTTCATTTTTCAATTGCTCAATCTTTATAGGCTGAAACTCAAAAGCATGGAGTAGAGGAGCTGAAAAGCCTCAAGCAAATTAGGGTAAGGTTTCATCTGATTTTTATTTGCTCTGTTCTTATATTTGTCAAATGGTTATCAATTATTTGTTCATTTCTATATTTGTTTGCCCGTATAAGATGATCTTGACATTTTCATAATGATAGAAATGAGATCAAACTAGTTCCAGTAAATTAATAGGTTTTTAATGTTGTATTAGTTCTGAAGATACTTAGAGGCTCCATTTGATTGTGGTTTGGTTGTGATATTGTTCAGAAGAAAGGCTTTTGTTCAGCAACTTTTTTCCATGACTGTGGTTAAAAGCTTGCTATATAACAAGTGGCTGTTGTGTTTAGTAACTTAGGCTTAACAAAATATTGTTGAAAATGTCATAATCTATGATATGTTTTGGAAAAAATTCTTTTGAAGATATTATGGGAATATAATTAATATGATTATCTGTTTCGGCGAAGCAGCCTATAATTGCATTTCCTAACAAAAAAAAAAAAAAAGTTTTGGAAAAACAATTGATGTGTCCTTAACAGAACTTCATTTTTTCAAAAGCAAGAATATGAACTCCCGAAGCACCGCAGTGGAAAGAAGCTAAGATGTATTTGTATTTCTAAGAATGGAGAAATTGGTACTGACAGATTTTTCATATCTATGAGAAATTTGTACCACATTATATGTGGTTGTGTAGACTGTTTTTGGATTTGCTATCCTGCAGTATGTTTTTTCTAACATGTTTTATGCAAATTATCGTCAAATGTTCTTGCAATTACACTCATGGTTTGCATTAGTCATAAGTTGCATCTTCCTTAACTTCTTTCAGTTGAATAATCTGGTTGTTGGCACCTTGAACTGTATATGCAGGTTGAACTTGAGAGGTTACGCCTTCTTTGTGAAAGAATAATCAAACGTGAAAAAATAAAGGTAGCCTATCTTGTATTTGGAACGGAGTTTCATCTAGGGTTTTATTTGAAAAAGAGATTTTTGTTTAATTTTATCAATCTTAAGTTATTATTTAATCAAAATTTGGTTCTTTGGTATATGTTCCATGAGAGTTATGCGATTGTAAAGTTGGCAGAATATGTAAATGCAATGTTCTTGTGCCCCATGTAAATGGAACTGAAACTCAACATTTCTTGATTATTATCAATGGTATGATGAACTTGCACCCTGTTGGCAATCCTGCATAAGATCTGTCTATTTGAAATTTCTGTGTTTTTTTCACTTCCTGTGTTGAAGTATTATTATTATTTTATGAATTAAGCTTTCAACCATCTCCTGTGATTTTTTGCAACATCATAGATACTGAAGATGTTAGAAATATGAGACACTGGGGGATCTATTATTGGGGAGGATCCTAGCGCCTTTGTATTGATTTATATATCATGTATACTAGCACCAACTTTAAGAGTTATTTTCATCTTCTTGCTTGTGCAAACAATTAGTATTAACTCCAGCAATTATTGTTCGTTTTGCTTGCTGAAAGGTTTGATTCTTAAATTACAGTTGGGATCAGCTAAAACATTTCAAATTACTAGGTTGGCTTTCCAGAAGATCTTCTTTAAGTTGTTTCTTGGCTAGATATGAATTGTGCTGCTTCCGAAATTCTCTAATGCGTATCTGGGCCGTCCAGTTCCTGATTCTTGCAAAACTTGGCTATTTCTTATATGCCTGGAACTCCTGCTGTTTCATGTGTACTTTTTGGGTTTCGGTAATGCTGGGATTTGAACCTTCTGAGTAATGTTATTCGCTATAGTTGCGAAGAAAGCCATCCAGATGTTGTAGCAACGTCTTCTGGTTGGTTTTTGAATTCTTTACATTGGTCCTTGATGCTGATGTGCTAGAAGCCTTGGTTTTAATGACGTCCATGACAAGTTATTTATGCTCTATCCACTATCTATTTGTTTATTTTATTCATTTGTCGGTTCTGACCTCTCTCCTTCGATTTTGAATGCTTGTTAGTCTCTTGGAATTGGCTTTACCTTCGGACATACGTTGTCATCTCACTTGCTTATGCAAAGTTATCCTTGTTAATGCTTGCAGCGGGAGTTGGTTCTTTGCTCACATGAAATACTTGCTGTCAAAAGAGACCATGTTGCTCGTTCTGTCCTTGTCCATAGTCCCTTTTTTCCGCCGGATGTTTCCTCAGAATCGGCTACAACTTCCCTTAAAGGTCTTACAGATGGTTGCAAATCATGTAATGAAGCAATTCAGCGGTCAGATGATAATACTGTTGACAGTGCTCTCTCTATTAAGCACCGGAGTAAGGTTCCAGTATCTATGGACATTGATCAAAAAACTGATGACAGCTCCACTTCCCAAATCCATTTTACTCGGAAATCTACAGAAAGGGTTACATTCTCTGGGAAGCAAATTCCTCATAGACATAATTTTGCATCTCGTAATCTTTTGGATGATGGAGAATGGAGTTCCAAGTCTAGAAAGGTATAATGCATCTCTACCTGTCTCTTTTTTTGCTTTGATTTTTTCCTCTTTCAAATTTGAGATACTTACGTGGCTTGAACTTTATTATTGACAATCTCAGCATATTGAGACATTTGAGAAAGAGCTGGTAATGACATCAGATGAAGCATCTATGAAGAATCAACGGTTGCCAAAAGGGTATGTTTATATTCCTGTTGATTGCCTCCAAGAGGAGAAGCAGTGCAATCCAAATGCATCTTCTGCTGAGCCTCTAGAACATGATGGGTAGATTGATGTAATTCCCTGGTTGTTCATTTGGTTCGAGGCTGTAATCATCAGTCCTGTCGCTGTCTGTGTTATATGGACTGAATGCAAGTCCATATTAGTACAAAGGCAGAATGATTGAATGAACCAACGCGGTGATGATCTGGCTGGCATATCACATTAATAGGAATGAGATTCCAGTTGAGGTGGTAAGTTTGGGGTCAATTGTTGTATATTCTTGATGGGAGTAATTGTACAGTGGGTGAGGGTTTATGCTTTCTACATGTACTGAGGAGCGTTGATTTGTGCAAGTGGCTGGTGGAGGTTGGAGAGAACCTCTGCTTCTTGTAACTGTAAGGAGGAATTTAGATTTTTCCACCTACTGTATGTGCTCAGTAAAGTCGGTGTAGATATCTTTATCAATCATGAAAGAAAAATTTTCAACAGTCAAAATAGTTCCGGAATCCAAAAAGAAAGATCAGAGTATTTCTTCCTCCTGTTCTATCTAACACTTGTTGTGTAGGGAAGAGGAGAAGGTAGTTTATTGGTTAAGGAAGATGTGTGGTGATGCAAGTGTTGTACATTCTGTATTTAATTGGTCTTAAAGAGAAGAAGTATTCAGGCTTCAGCTGATAACAAGCCTCCTAATTCTTTATTTGCACCTTCGTACGTATTTACTGACTGCTAGCTTGACCTTTTTCTGGTTTTTCAGGTTGTGGGATAGTGCGATGAGGTATGGTGTGAGAGTAAACTTCGTCCCTCTTACTTTTTGTGTAAAAATATTGTGCAGCATTTATCGATCACACACAACATGCGCACATAAACACTCCCATATCCTTAAAATTTTTTCTGTCTGAGTGTTAATAGTTTACTCATTCTGGGTTTCAGTCTTTTTTTTTAATTGGTAAGTATGATTTTTTTGTTTAGGTACTGTCTTTTGTATTCAGAAATTGAAAATATATTTACTCTTACTATAAAAAAAAATTGATATAGACGTATAAAAATATACTCACTCTTGTTTCTACGTAATGGATTTTTTGTTCTTTTGCATTTCTCTAAAGTAGTGTATTATACCAAAAAAAAAAAAAAAACTATTATTTCAAAATTGGTTGTGATAAATTATATATAAGGGTTTACTTCGAGTTGAATTAAATGATACTGCAACAATGTTTAGTTCTAATAAATAATAATATGTTAATATTTTAATTGGGAAATACCGAAAATGACATGAAGATTAGACTGGTCTGCACGTATTATAATTTGTTCTTAAATTGAGGGACATTTGAAGATTGATCCCTTTGAAAATATCACGAATGAAAATGATGATGAATATCACAAGCTTAAAAGTCCCAAGGATAACATTCTACAATTTTCCAGGGAAACAAACAAACCTATACGCCAATACAGAACTTCCTAATTAATAACTTGACCTTGATCCCGACCTATACGCTATACTTGTACAGAAAATTTCCACTTTGAGGGATCTGTTTCTCCTCTTCCTATGTAAATATATTCTCTTCATTTATATCACCCTTGACTTTTTTTTTGTACCCATTTCAAGACGGTTTTTTCTTTTTAATTTGCTCCATTATTTTTGACAAACAAGATTTTGAACTAAGTTGGTGACAATTTGGATAATTGTGGAGCTTTTGGATTTCTTTTATCAGTTTAAAATTTTAAATTAATCGACATATTAAAATTGATTCATTTTTTATTATCTATTTTCTAATTTTTATCAATTATATATTTGATTACTGAGTCCAGTAAAGCTCCATAATATAAAACTTTTAAACTATACAGTTTGATTTCACATTGCTTGAAAGGTTAATATAAAGTTTTTGAAGTATAGTAATATATTATTTGATATTAATAATTAATTTATATTTTTGTTGATTATATTTATAAAACTTTCTTTTTTCTATAAATAAAAACTTATTAAGATTAAGGAAAACCTAACGTACAAAAGTTTTTAGAAAAACCCTTTTTTACAAAATCTAAGAGAATAAAAAATATTAGTTAATTATATATGACAATATTGTTACTTCTGTGATAAAAGATGCCATAGACATCTAATTTTTTAAGCCAATTACTTTCGAACAATCTCACTTTGTTTAACTAAATTTAA